GAAATGAAATATTAAGTGAAGACTGTTTGGTATTAAATATATGGACACCAAATGTGGACAATAGTAACAATAATCAACAGAAAACGGGTCTCAAAGCAGTCATGTTTTGGATAGCGGGGAGAGTATGTGTGCGGACACCGACCAACTCCCGGCACTGAAGCCAAATATAGTAATCTCATCCCTATCTCCGCCAAATAGATGTATGTTTTCTCTAACCTATTGTTAATTTTATTGATTTTACAAATATTTCAAAATATTATAATTGAATACCCATTTGAGTGCCAATAACTGGTCATAAAAGCCAGCATTTCCGGGCGCTGTCTCATCGCCGCCGTAGAGGAACCCCAACGGCCCGACCCTATAGTTAACGGTAACCACAACCACATAATTGGTGGCCAACACTGAAGAGTTGTAAAAGTCTTAAAATATTGATCCCATACTCAGTGCTCCGCCATATATCCAAAACATGACTGCTTTGAGACCCGTTTTCTGTTGATTATTGTTACTATTGTCCACATTTGGTGTCCATATATTTAATACCAAACAGTCTTCACTTAATATTTCATTTCCTGTCAAAACACCAAACTTTGGTATGTTTTGAATGCAATAATTACCGGGTTTTGTGCCGTCTATTATACCCTTAATTACGATAATTATTGCATTTAATAAATTTATTTAAATACTACTTTCAATGCATACCTGTTTGGGTGCTCTGAGATGTAGAAGTGGTGCGAACCTGAGTGGGCCTAAAGGGGGCTCAGCGTAGGGTATATTCAAGAATTGATGTATTTTGCGATTCAAGACATGGAGTGTCTGACCCCTCACTGAACCCAAACTCGTGTTCACATCAATACTATTCCCATCGCAAACACAACACACTATTAAACACACAATTAGTACTGATATTGACAATTGCTTTGCAAATAACATTGTAATTAATTTAGTAACTATTTAATCGGAGCAATTAATATTAATTGGTATTTAACAGTTAATTGTTAAAATTATAAATATTAAATTTGTCACTTCCAGCGCAACACTTATTACGGTAAACACTTGTTACTATGCAAGGTATAATACTTGTAAAATATTGTAATTTGAAAGTTCATAACATTCACAAAACAAGCTTGGTCATTTGTAATCCTGTACACTGCTTGTTAATAAAATATTAAATTTTAGAAAAATTAATATTTCTGCAATCACTATGCAGAATACGGACTCTATTTAATCAATACAATGATTTAAATTTTAACAAAATTAATGTTTTTTTGTGTGAAATAAATGTCTCTTTTTGTCATAAATAAAAAATTAGTTATTTTAATTAAAGAAATTATTTTTAAAGCATATAAATTAATACTATTAGAATGAAAATCAAACAACTTGTATATCATTTGATAAAATGAATGTTTAAAAAAGTTACTAAATTGTCAATCAATATACAAGTCTCTCTCTCTCTCTCTCTCTCTCTGATCGGGGCATATGATAGCACCGGTAGGGCTTGTTATGTATGTATGTGTGCATACATGTCGTGATAAAGTTCATACGGATGCGAATTATACATATTCTCACTCATCTCTTTTAAATCATTGTATTGATTAAATAGAGTCCGTATTCTCTCTCTCTCTCTCTCTCTCAATAAGTTGCAATTCATTGGATCATTGTAGCAAGTATTAAATAGTAAATTCACTTGGTAATTACTCAACAATAAATTGATTTCGTGCAGTAATGCAAATATCAGTAGAATTATAACAGATTATGCAATCTAGGTTATGAACTATGTAAAGTTTAGGGTACAATCAAAATATATACTATGTTTACAATGAATACACTTTAAAATCTTTAGAAAATGAGATTTAATTTCTTAATCAAGAAATACAACAATTAATTATTTATACATGAATGAATAAATGAAATAAAATTACGTGTTTTAAAATACAATCGGAAAATAGTTTCTATATTTGGTTTACAAATGAAATGAAATGTTTTTTCTTGTAATAATTAATTAAAATTTAAATGAATACTAAATGTAAGATAATATCAATAATAATTATAATGAAATGTAATAAAAAACTAAATGAAAACACAAACACATATACAATACATATTGACTTATAAAAAATTAATTATTTTATTATTTAATTATAATGTAATCCAAAAAATGAATTTATCGGTGAATTAAAAACTAGATTTTCATTCAAAACAATCAATTGGTTTAAACAAAACTCAACTAATAATTAGCTAATATTTACTCTCAAATTCACTTAATTACTATCAAATCATAATTTCATAATAATTAATTAATTGTATTAATAATCAAATGTTATAATCAATATATCTATAGATTTGTTGTACTCTTATCACAGATATTGTCATTGACATGAGTGCTTTAAATTTACACCATGGTGTAAATCCTATGGTGATGCGTAATGTATAACTGTAAATTAAAGCATTCTAAAGCACTCATGGTCATTGAAATCATTGTATGGTTTGTGTGAATCAATTTAAAAAACGTGAGCATTGATTACAAACATCATTCTCACAGCCCAATAGACAGTATAGTTGTTTATGTCTGTATATGTCAGTCAACACAATGACCATGCTCATTCGCCGAGTCCAATACACATATATTATTTATCTTTATATTTCTTAAAACAATTTCTAGACTTACGATAAGTCACGTGTAGTTTGTGTTTGTTTTTGGTTTTTATCAAGATATATAATATAATTAGAAAAAACACAGTAATATAATTAATTAAAACACACTTTTGGTCAGTCATTGTGTGTCATCAGCACACAGTGTCATAAAACATGGTAAACACATGATTTTGTATTTTTACAACTATATGTATATTTAAAAAACACTATTAATTATTATTTATCAAATCATTTCACTATATATTTAGCACACATATGGGCGCCGACAACGACACTCGTCTCTCCCATCCCTTTCCCTATCAATGAAGTTGTGTTGAATTTAATGGCATCTAATGAACGCTCTGGTAGTCAATGCCGGCTCTTCAGCTGCGATACCACCCATTCTAAGCCCTGATATAATCTGTAAAACAAAAGTTACATTAATTAAAATCATATGTCATTCATTGAAAACTATTGCAAACAATACAACACAACAGTTATGCGTAAAGTCCTGGTGTAATGTGTTATAAGGATTAATTAATCATCAACATATTGTTAGTAAAAGTAGCTAGATGAGTATTGTGCAATCATTAGCTAGAGTGTTGCCAATAATTAAATGTCAAATACCGAGATCTGTTTTTGATAGCATATTAAGTGATCGGAAAATTTTCAAGTGATTATTTATCACTGATTCAAACAAATAACAAACGCTCTCTCTTCTCTCTCTCTCTCTCTCTCTCTCTCTCTCTTTATAGTTAAGACACATTTTTGGCACATATTTTTGTCATTTCAACATTAAAAACAAATACCAAATCAAAGTTTTTATCACGTGTTCGTAACACCCGTTACTGTGAACCCCTCTCTCTCTCTCTCTCTCTCTCTCTCTCTACTAATACAGTGTTTAATAATTGCAATTAAGTTATTATTCAATTAAATGATAAAAAAACATAAAGTTTGTTAATGTATTTCCCAATAGTGTACTAACAATACATACTTTAAGGTATTATTAAACTAATAGATAATAACAATCGCATTATAAATGCCATTAAGTTTACCGCAAGAAAAACAAAAAACTAATATTAATAATGAAATACAATTCAAAAAGCCTTCAAAAAACATAAGACAAAAATATTTGTTTAAAATAAATTATAACAAAATTTATGCTTAAAAATAGCATTCAATTATTGCGTGTTTTACATTAATACATCTCTCTCTCTCTCTCTCTCTCTCTCTCTCTCTCTCTCTCTGAGAACTCATTCAAATGCAAAATACAATTACAGCAAACGATAACTACTTGTTTGGCATTAATTTAGTGGCTATTTATGAATAACTAAAGTAATAACTTATAACTTCAATAACTAAAGTATGAGAATATTTAAACATCACATAATTATAAAATCACTGATTAAAAACCCCTAGATAGAAATACAGTACTACCACAAAAAAACAACTGATACACTAAAATACCATGTGAAAAATTAATTACCAATCAATACACCAATTCATCGGTAGACTAATCACGCAATAAATGAACTAGATTATAAAACATAGCGTAAACTACTCTAGATAATAAAAGTGGGTAAAGTTCACTAATATTAGTAGACAATACCATGTATTCGCATCACCACAACATACTTGCATATCAATGGCATTATCTCATAATAAACACACAATACATATATGAAAAACAACAACAAAAATATCCATCAAATCCTTCACTAAATCTAAGATCAGATCGTATAAAACGTTAGACAACACACCAGAAGAATAGTCACATACAATGGGATCAGACAAACAAAAAAGAGATAAATTCCTGTGAGAAGCGGGGGCTTAAAGGGGGCGGCAGTCAGACAATACATTACATGACAAGCCATCACAACCCCATCAGACACAACATCAGACACATGACAAACAACACACACACAGACATACACTACAAGACATTACTGTAGACCACAGGACAATACTGTTGGAAATCATAGATAGGATGACCAGCACAACATACCCTTCGCCGGTGAGCGCACAACAGGCCTGTATCTGCCACTTGTGTTTCTT